CACCAGAATCTAAGATTAGTTTTTCGGAAACCCGTTCGGAAAAACAATGAGCAGTGACAAATCAACGATGCACACTGTTGTGTTATTTTGATTTTTCTTTGGTAAATGAGAAGAGTGTCTCAAATTTTGTTGATCTGAATATAGTGTGTAGTGATTTTGTTTTTTATCCGCTCAAGAACGACCTGAAAGCGTTTGTGATGTATCAGAAATTGAATAGACATCGTCATCAGAAGAAACAGTAGACGCCTTTACAGTTTTACAGAGATTTTTTGAAGTATTACCTTTCACAAGTTGTCTGCAAGACTGACTAATTGTTTTATCAACATAAATACCATCACAGTCATTACAACTGATCCCATAAACGAAATCTGATTATGCCAGTTTGGAAATTTTATCTTTTGTCTGAAAAGAGCCAACATTTTTTTGATGGTCTCATACTAATTTTTAAGGCAATTTGTGGTTTAATTCTTTTGGTGAAACTTTTTAGGTTTTACTTCGAACTTTAGACTACGACTAATAGTTGGCATTCACGTATGGAATGTCAACAACTAGTCGTTTTTTACTAATATTATCCATAAATCATAGATAATATCAGTATAGTATGTCGTAATGTATGTTGATAAAACAATTAGTCAGTCTTGCAGACAACTTGTGAAAGGTAATACTCCAAAAAGTCTCTGTAAAACTGTAAAAGCGTCTACTGTTTCTTCTGATGACGATGTCTATTCAATTTCTAATACATCACAAACGCTTTCAGGTCGTTCTTGAGCGGATAAAAAACAAAATCACTACACACTATATTCAGATCAACAAAATTTGAGACACTCTTCTCATTTACCAAAGAAAAATCAAAATAACACAACAGCTTTTTCGGCTATTACACCAACAATAAATGATAACATTACATTTGACGAGGACGTTTCTTGCTCTTCTTCTACTATTAATAATCTAGATATTAAGTCAGCGCTTTCTAAACATATTATGGATAAAAAACACACTATAGATGGGAACGGATTTACAATTCTATAATTGTATTTTTGTTGAGGATTCTGAAAAACCGTATTTATCATAGAATAAGTCTTATACTGAGAATTAGCTTTACTTGAGAATTAATATCTGATTATTAATGCACATATTATGATTATACATCAGATGTAAAGCACATCCGAAGAGGAGATGAATTCTAGCACTAGAAAAATTTTCATACAATCGTTAGAAGTATAAACCTAGAGAAAGACGTCTTCGATACACACATAGTATATACATCGGGACACAAAAAAGTGTTGCAACGATGACTCAGGGAATTGTAACAATAAATCCAGATCGCAAGAGATGAGATCTGGAATAGAATCCCTTTAGAACGATGAATAGACGGTGTAACAAACTTAGCATTTAACCATTGTTTGCGATATATATTAAAAATGCTGGGTTCAATAAGCAGAATATCGTCTACTGACTTAGATAGAGCTTTAACAAACTTATCCCAGTATTTATAACATCGACTTTCCAGCGAACGTTCCTTACACAGATACAAAAACAAAATCATTCCAATGTCTTATAAACCAAAAATTCGTTTGAGCATGTATAGTAAAAGTGAGAAAGATCAGATCTTTGATGATCTCAAAATGGAGGAAAAAGAACAAACAACCATGTGAATAAAAGTAACACGTATGTAAAGAAAAGTATTCTAAAAAAAGGACTTAAGGAACCACTCATTCTGCAGGACTTAACAATCGCAGCTCTTTGACGAATGTTTGTATTTGAAATGTTTATCATTTTCTCAACCTAAGGCTAAGTAGTTTACAATTTTCCAGGAATCTCGGCACTTGAGAATATTTAATACCAATCATGCGACTCAAGACACAAGCCAGATCATCGAACACAATAGCAGAAAGCATCGAAAAATAAAAATCTGACAAAAAATTAGAGGAAAGGAACAGTGCATACTCCATATCGAAATTCGTTTTCTTTTGAAGTACGGAAGGAAAAAAATAAGGGGCCAGGGGCGAAAGTTATGAATCACCAAGCAACCGAGTCATTATCTGTTTGTAGAAATCACATTATTCATAAGCATACCTAGCTGTTGTTCTTTCAGATGAAATTGTCTTCTCTTTTCCACATTTTTGTTAAATTTTGTCATCCACTTCGGTAGCTCACATGAAAGTTTTTCACATAACTTTGTAAATGATGAACATAATGGCATTGAATCACTAATAGTTTTTTGTTTGATTAGCAGGGATAATGCTTCGATAACTGCTTGACAAATTGGTGTTACAAATTGACTAATAAAATCATGTTAAAATGATGTATCAATTTCTTGTATGTATAACATATTTTCATAATTCATACTTAAATCTTGTATTCGTTTCTGTTGTTCATATAATTTTATTATTTACATCAATCGAATGTTTCCTACACAAAATCCTACTCACTTCCTGCCTATTTCCTACTTGAATCTTACACGATCCTAACATTTAGTGTCCACCTGATAACTTTCTTGCAGGATCCTAAGACTTTCGGGTATACCTGATTTTATTAGGATCCTAAGAAATTAAAGCGAAATCCTAGTAGGATATTGGGGGGATATGTCTCGGACCCTCGTAGTGTGCATCCAGGCGGACATTAGATGAAAAAACCAAAACCGACTTTTAAAACACTCAAATAGTGAACAAGACATGCTCTATCCGATGGCATAAAATTTTTTGTTATAAAGTCCAAACGGAGTGGAAAACCAGCTACTTAAAAACTAGCCTGGAAATAGCGTCATCCGTAGGAAAATTAATTTTACGCGAAAACGAAGACTCCGGTAAGTAAATGAGTTGTAACTTATGAATCTCCACATCATTTAGTATACATTAGTAAAAAGATTTTCAGTTTGAATTAGAGATTGCTGAGAAAAAAATAAAAGTTTTCCTAAGTGGTTTTCCGAACTGCTGGTTTCAGTAAAATTTGCGCGCCCTCTACAGACCAACTTCAAATTTGTTACAGAGTATTGTTCTACATACCCTCAATCAGCACAGTTAGCATAAATTAGCATAAACGTTCCCGGACTTAGATAGGGTTTTCCAAAAAATCCTTGGATTTCTGGGTATTTTCCATTTTTATCGGCGCAGAAACGTTTTTATTTAATAATAATGGCATATTACGAATCAGCACAAGATACTGCATCGGCTGATATATAATTTCTGGGGGTTGAAAAGAAAAATGTTGTTCGAGAAAATTCAGGCATAATCGAATTATAGATTTTATATACTGATTTTAATCGTGTTCTTCCGCATTGACAGTAAACTACGGGTTTGCAACGACTTTAAAATAAGTGGGAATCGTCTAATTATTAGGTTATATATTTCAACGCGAAGTAGAGGAAACAGTTATTTGTCGACGCGGAGGATCTTCGTGAGCTTCTGGCTTTCTGCTTGGGACTGCACCTGTCGGCAATGATTCCGAGGCCGTCGCTTCGTGTTGAAACCTGTAGCCTATTTATCATCCCCTGGAAAACGTGCACCAGTATGATCATTCAAAGAATACAATATCAAAATATTAGGGCGATTATTACGGGTATAGTGAATGGTCAGTAGGGCAACATAGGTTGTCGAAGGTGGTATATATTGGTCCCCGGAGAGGGTCCCATGAATTACGAGCTAGCACCGGAGGCAACTAGGACTACCCGTTTATTTGCTGGTAGTCGAACCGGTCTACCCATTTATTAAACGGATGTCCAAGGCACATTACAAATCGCCCCTGTGTTGACCCAACATTGTGAGTTTGATCCAGTGTGTAAAGGGGTCTGTCACCAATCATGAACACAACAAAAAAAAACCTAACCAAATACAAGCTCCGGGCAACACCGCCATTACATTACATGAATTATATCAAATATTTTTTATTGATTCTGACAAAGACACATATACAACCATAAACAAGATCTGCGAATGGTTCGAAGTCGGTGCTATAGATGGAAATAAAAATATTATTTCACATCGAATTCATCATCACACCGTGAAGAAAAAGAGTGATCTGGAATCATGGAAAAAGCGTAACCTTCAACAGTGAGAAGTCGAGTATTCCAGAGTTGTATTAAATAAATCCGATCTATACCAGCGATCAAAACCACCAAAACGTGTCTCAAAATATTTTTTGGACCTGAAATATCGTCAAAAAAGGCGTCGTCTAGCTACGTTGAATGAAGTACTAGAAGATTTTTCAAATTCAAATAATATTCCTGTAAATCAATTACTCGGATATTAATTATATCAAAGAAATTACAATAATAATAAATATTTAGCTAGAATAGAAGAAGAACTGTATAATACGGATACCATCGAAACCAAAACTTCCCTGAATCTCGGTCAGACGATCGCTCTGAAGTATAATCTGAATCTCACAACTTACGACACTGATTTTATGAAATCATTTTTACACGAACACCTTCACACATCAAATCGTAATAAAATCCGTGAGTTTGGTAAACGACTAATACCAACAATAAATCCATATTGTGATAAAAAAGGAATAGCAGTAGAACAGCGAGAAGAAACGACTGTCTTGACTGTTAAACGACTGATTACATCATTCAAAGAACAAGGAATAGCAGTTCCGAACAATTTATCATACAAGGAGAAGATAGGGTACAACGGAGTGGGAACAATGACGGTATATAAATCAGTAAATAATTCAATGTAAGATAGTAATATATTTGAAAAAATGTTCGTGCCACTTGAATTAAAAGATAAAAATTCTCAAGAATTATTGTGGAAAAATCTTGTGCCGAATAGTTTTAGATGGTCACGTCCAATCGCATCGATAGCTGAAAAAGAAGTGAAGACTTATTTAGAGTTGTCAATGAACCATTTGGACCACAGAAAAGATGATTAAGAGATGAAGGAATTACATTTGTACTCGATAATGAAACGTACGAAGTCGAAGTACACATCGAAGCAAGTATGAAGGACTTCAAAGTTCGAATGACAGAGAGTGGTCTTGGTGGTGCAGACTGCTTCATGTGTACTACGAGGCAGCGCGACTGGAAACACGTAGCAAAAGTAAACGACGACAATTATTTCAATATTTGCAGAACGTCGGAAAAAACCGTAGAAACTTATAATAAAATGAAGAAAGAAGAAGGAGAAATTGTTAAAAAGGAAAATGATTATGAATCGAGTATGGGATTAACATCAGAACCACTGTCTGAATGCGATCATTCATATATAACAGTTACTCATCAATATATCAATGGTACCACATGGTTTCTGAAAATGATGTATCACATGAAACCAAATTTACTACAATGGGTTGCACGTGGTCAAACTAATTAAGATAAAATAGCAAAAGCTAAAAGTACGATCATAGCCGATATTGAGAAGAAAACCGGGTTGCGATTCGAACAGCACGATACTACATCACACACAGGCGGAAGTACTACAACAGGCCAACAAGACTATCCGCCTTTTAGGTTCGAATTAAGAAATGATATAGTTTCATGTATGCCTGTAAAATATCAACTTACATTGGAAAAATTAATTCAGGTATATTTAATTATTTTACGAACTGTATCTGTTACTAAACTAAAAATTTGACAATAGAATTTGGTTTATTTCTGACGAATAATGCTAAATGGGTAGATTATTCTATGACAGTTCACAGGTTAATATTCCATACACTGGACCTAATTGACCGAAACGACAGTATTGGGTTAGGACAATCATCTGAAGAAGAGTTAGAAGCAACAAACAAAGACGTTAGAAATTGTCGTGAATTCATGGCAAGAAAAATAGGCCATATTGAAAATTTAACCAATGTCTTTAACTACTTATTTCTCCGATCTGATCCACTGATACACTACATGATGGACAAAACAAGTTCAACACAAAAATCCGCGTGTTTACATGAAGATGATGCAATTTTAGAAACAATTTTCCTGACTGGGTGCTCTGTCAGGAAACTCATAGAGATTTTACCAGGATTGTAAATTATCATTCAGTTGATTAACATTGTGTTCGAATTTAGATATACGATCATTAAGGGCACCACGATTCGCTGGATTACTATCTAAAAACTAAAGATTCGAGTTAAACTCCGTAGTTCAACGTCTTGGAGTCAAGATCCTACGTTAAGATTTGGCATTAGACCTTGAAATGATTACAAGATCTCAAGATATTTTTGTACTCAAGATCTTGAACATTTTAAAAACCTTCATATTTTGAAAATAACTTTTTTCTTTTTTGTAAAAGGTGTTGGAAACAAAAAATGTTCATCCTTGGGAGGTAAACATTTCATTCGCTAGGATAAACGTTTCCTGATGCCTCATGGAGTTTTGACTCTGCTCTTGACGAAACCAAAGTAGCATCAGACACAAAATAGGATGTTCATATATGGCATCAGCAAAATAAAACGATGAATGGTAACTAATGATTAATCAGAGATCTTTGGTGCAAGATGTCAAAATATTTCTGTATCAAAGATCTTGAGCTATGATCTTGGGTGCAAGCCATTTTTCAGTCAAGATCAGCTGATACCAAAAAGAAAAAGATGCTCTATACAAAATGAGAAAGAGAGAGAAGTATGCTGAGGACAATGATTAGATAATTGTACTGCAGGAAAAGAAATGAAGAACTATATACTGGATATAAAAGAAAAAAATACAAACTGACCATTTGAAGATGATTCATACGGGTAACAGGCTACGACGCGATATCTGTCACAGTGATGCTTCATTGATAACTGATCATTCAATATTTATCTTTCTTAAAAAATGCAATACGATGTATTTCAATCTTTTCTTTCATACTATCTAAATCATTTCGAAAATCAATTTATATTTATATATAGGAAACGTCACACATTCTAAGATTTCTAAAATAGTCTAAGGTAAACAGTACACACTACAAAAAGCAAAGTATGTTAAAAAATATGTAAATGATCTAGACGTTCAGTCGGCGTCACAAACTATATGTTTCTTCTAGATGGTCAGTCCTAGTGTGTAAAAGTTTTAAGTATAGTTTTAAGAAAAACGTTTGTGTGGAGATTTTAAAATCAGTTTCTTACATGCAACAGATGAAGAACCAACGGGGAAACAGCAGAATTCTAAGCAGCTGTGGACTCCAAGGCTTACCGAAGCCTGGAGAATCCTATACAAACTACCCAAAGCTCGAGAAACTGGAGGAATCCCTGGGAGTACAAGAAAAAATCGGAAAAAGGGATTAGAACCCGATGAAATCCCGAAAATCTGTATGAAGTGGATGAAGAACTCACTTTTACAGTATGTGTTTCAATATCTTCTCTTATATAGATCATTTTGAAAACCAGTTTCCATCATACAATAGAAAAAAAATAACGGTTAATCAACAAAAAATCACTTTGTGTAGAACTTATGTCAAAAATCTTTCTTTACTTGTGCCTCTAATGTGTCTCACATTTTCTAACATTGTTGATTCCATGTAAGTTAATTTCCGACTAAATTGAAAGAGAACGTTAATTTTACTTTTAATACTGCCTGATAGATATAAGAAGTTATGAAGCAATCCAAACAAATGTTCGAGTTAATTTTTATATGAGACACCTTTTAAAAATTAAAAAAGCTATCACAATGTATAAATCGCGTAAAGAATTTTTGGCTTTTTGCCAAGTTGGCCAGACGAGAAATTCCTCAACAATAAATATACCGGATGTTTCTCCATGAAAAACAGTTCCCGAATAATCATCATGGAATGATTTCTTTCGTACACAATATTGCTTCTTCTTTGCTATAACATAACAAAGTCATGTGTATTATATTTCATTATTGAATATTTGCTGCTAAATTAGATAAAAATTACAATCAAAACCTGTGTTTAAACGGGTTTCTAATTGTTATAGATAGGGACAGATATTGTCGGAAGAACGAGTCAGTTAAATTAAAGATTTTCTCTATCCAACTTGAATAATTAAAAGTTTTATATATGTAAGAACTATAGCTGAAATTTATAAAAACTTTGTTAATTGCTTGCTTGTCGGATATTGTCGTGGTGTAATAGAAAATAACTTTGTTGCAAAGTGTTTCATTTCATTCAAGAATAAAACATATCAGACAATATTTTAATTTCTTAATACGTATATATAATATAAGCTTTGAGTACAGGGTTAAGGATGCTGGATCATGTGTATTATCTAGTAATATAAGATATTGACAGGACTTTTGAAATAAATGAACGTAAATTGTTATATACAGCTTGAATAGCCATTAATATAGTAGAAATATTATTTTATTTATTTAAATATGCTGTAGAACTTTCATGACAAACCCGTGCATCATCAGTATAGTTCAAAGACGTTTACAATTGAATAAAAGTACATACGGTTCTACTATATATATACACACTTATATAGTTTTGTACATATCATATCTATCCATCTTGGAACCAACAACTATCTTAAACCATGATCACCACAACTGTTGACAAATAATAGAATTATTTTCTTGATTGAAAGTAAAACGTCATAATAATATGAAGATCAACATTATTATAATTATGTTTCGAGCGGGATGATCATGTTTACTGTATACTCTCCGGATAAGGCATTATGGCGAGCTACCGAATAGTAAAAGTAAACTATATTCCGCGTTTTTATGACAGTTATGCAGCGAGACAAGAGGCATGAGGTCACTTTTTTATTCAGATTATCACGATTTTTGCTGATTAACCATTATTTTTTTCTATTATATAATGGAAACTGGTTTTCAAAATGATGTAGATAAGAGAAGATATTGAAACACACACTGTAAAAGTGAGTTCTTCACAAGGCGGAAACAGCAGATTTTGTGACTTTTGTAATCTAGGCTCCATTCCACAGGCAATCAATTTTTTTCAAATTCTGTCGTACTCCTGGAGACTCCTTCGTATTCTGCGTGACTTCGTTGAGCCCGAAGAATTTTCCTGACTATTTTTGAACTTTCCCACGTTTTTTCCGCTTAGCCCCATTTTCAGTAATTTTTACAGATTTTCGGGACTTCATCGGGTTCTAGTCCCTTTTTCCGATTTTTTCTTGTACTCCCAGGGATTCCTCCAGTTTCTCGAACTTTGGGTAGTTTGTATAGGATTCTCCAGGCTTCGGTAAGTCTTGGAGTCCACAGCTGCTTAGAATTCTGCTGTTTCCCCCTTGGTTCTTCATCTGTTGCATGTAAGAAACTGATTTTAAAATCTCTACACATATCACCGAATCGAAAAATTTCAAAAGCTTGTTCGGTCGAAACCGATTGCAGATTCGTCTTCGCCATGGTTGATTATGTGGTACGCAATAACTTTTGGATCGGGGTACTTCAGAAAAAATTTTTCCCATGATCTTGCTCAAAAATTTTTCCAAATGTTACCGTATGGGACCAAAGGCAAAACGATGTCGAAAATTTTTTCTAAAGT